ACACGCCCCTCGTCCTTACGCTCCTCCTTGACGCCCCCGAGAAGGAGTCTGGCTGGTCGCGACAGCGCAAGGAGGCGTCGAGACTGCGCTCGCCGAGAAGCAAGATGGGCGGGTGGACGCGTCCACCCCCCCACAGTAGGAGCTCGACCACAAGAACGCTTCCACAAGAAACCCAACCCTGAGACCCCAGGACATCCATTGGTTTGTGGTGTGGGAACGTCACGCTTTCTACCACAGAACCATCAAAACCCAAGAAACTCGGGGCACCCTGGAGGCAAGTAGGGTGTTCCTTGGCATGGGTTTCCACTGCACCACGCCCGCCTGACAGACATCCGCCACCGTGCCTCGAGGCACGAAGCGGCTGTTCCCCAGGTCCTCGAGGATTCTCTGTACTCTGTGTTCGGTGCCGTAATGACTATCTGAGGGGAAAGGGGCCCAAAATCTCAGATCTTCTTGGCGCTCCCGCGCGTTCCCGGGCTTCCTCGCGTGACCTCTCCTGACGCCCGAGGGCCCCTTATAGCGAACCAAGAGGGCCCCAAGAAGTGCCCGAGAGGGCCCAAGGGGCATCCAAGACAGCCCGAGAGCGCTCCAAGACGGCCGAGGTGACTCCAAGACGGCCCAAGAGGGCGCCAAGATGCAACATGAATGGATTTCCATTGATTTTCGAAGGATCTTGGTGTTCTCGCGTTTTCGGGCGTTCGACGCTCCAAGACGTCCAAGACGGCCCAAGAGGCCCCCAAAATCGCCCCAAGACGGCGTAAGATGTCCCCAAGAGCGCCCCCAGACAGCTCACGATGGCTCCAAGACGGCCAAAGGGATCGCCAAGACTGCCCCAGAGGGCTCCAAGAGCACAAGAGGGCGCCAAGATGCAACATGCATTGGGTTCCTCAGATGTTCACAAAGGATGTCTGTGTTCTCGCCTTTCTGGGCTTTCGACGCTCCAAGACGGCCCAACAGACCCCCAAGATCGCCCCAAGACGACCCAGGAGGCCCCTAAGAGCAGCCCCTAACGGCTCAAGATGGCCTCAAGACGGCCCAAACGAGGCCCCCAAGAAGGCCCAATAAGGCCCCAAGAGGAGGGGCCCAAGAGAGGCCCCAGAGAGGGAACGCGAACCGATATGTCAAGCCCTTGGCCCAGAGATAGACCCCGAGACCGCCAGCAGGCCCTCAAAAGAAGCCCCCCGTAAGCTTCAGGAGGCCCCGAAGAGGCCCAAACTAGGCCCCAGGAAGCCACAGGAGACCCCCGAGAGGCCTTCAAAACAAACCAAAACCGAATCCAAGAGGCTTCCGAGAGGCCTCCCAAGAGAGCCCCACAGGCACCCCACGGGCCTCTGACCTACAAACCACACGCGATGGCGGGATGGCCGAAGGCCCCTGGATACTATCCATGACCACCGCGACGCTGCAGCCGGACAGGCTCGAGTGGGGGCTGGAAAAGCAGTTTGCGTTTCGCTTCGAGGAGGAGGGAGGAGATGCTATCGGACGTGCCGTGCGTGCGGGGTGGGCGTTCTGCCTGATCCTTCCTTAACGCTTACGATCTTGAGGACTCAAAGTTTCCAGCAACTGATGGAAGGCGAACCGCTTCAAAAATGGCTCTCGCCCTGCTGCCGCGCACACCCACCTTGAAGAATCCAACAACCACGCGGATGGAGGGCGAACCGTTGTATACTAGCCTGGCGAAGTGCCCAACCATACGCAGCTGCGAAAGCCGCATTGTGGGTACCGCTTTCGGTGGACCTCCCGCCACGAAACGCTGTGCTGGGTGGCGTTGACGCATGCGGACCCTGCCACTGCAGCCTTCCGTGGAGCTCCCTATGGGGCCACGAGACGCTGTCCTGGGAGGCGTTGACGCATGCGGCCTGTGCCACTGGATTCTTCGGTGGAGCTCCCTATGGGGCCACGAAACGCTGTCCTAAGTGGCGCTGGCGCATGCGACATGTGCCACTGGAGCCTTCGGTGGAGCTCCCTATGGGGCCACGAAACGCTGTCCTAAGTGGCGCTGGCGCATGCGGCCTGTGCCACTGGAGCCGTCGGTGGAGCTCCCTATGGGGCCACGAAACGCTGTCCTGGGAGGCGTTGACGCATGCGGCCTGTGCCACTGGAGCCTTCGGTGGAGCTCCTTATGTGGCCACGAAACGCTGTGTTAGGTGGCGCTGGCGCATGCGACCTGTCTTGGGTGGCGTTGACGCATGCGGCCTGTGCCACTGCAGTCTTCGGTGAAGCTCCCTATGGGGCCACGAAACGCTGTCCTGGGTGGCGTTGACGCACACGGCCTGTGCCACTGGAGCCTTCGGTGGAGCTCCTTATGTGGCCACGAAACGCTGTGTTAGGTGGCGCTGGCGCATGCGGCCTGTGCCACTGGAGCCGTCGGTGGAGCTCCCTATGGGGCCACAACACGCTGCCCTGGGTGGCGTTGGCGCATGCGGCCTATGCCACTGGAGCCTTCGGTGGAGCTCCCTTTGGGGCCACGAAACGATGTCGCGGGTGGCGTTGACACATG